CGGGGACTCTGAGAGACAGTTGTGGGCCTGTGGGTTGCTATGCATCTGCTGCTTCTTCTGCCAGCATGCATGCTTCGTGCTTCTCCACCCTTCAGTCCATGCTAGCAACCCTTTGCCACTGCACTAGTGTCATGTGAGTCCCTCTGCATCCATTTTACGACGCCCTTCATACCGCACCATACTTCACTCCTTTCCCCGTCTCCTAACCCTCGCCTTGCCTCTCTCTCCCTCCACCACCACCCTCCCTCCTCCCGCGCAATGCACCTGTGCCATGTGAGTGGCCAGTGGAAGGCGTATGACCGCATGGGAGCGGCCATCACGGGCATTCCTCGTGCGAGCATGAGAGCGCTTGCCATGTTCCCAGGGGAGATCATCCATGTAGCGCGCGTGCACCAGGTCAGAATAGATGCCATGCATGCTATTCACCTCATGCCTCTCACACCAGAATGTTTCTTTTTTGCTTTCTTCTCACCAACCCCCTATCTTCTACCTCACACCCTTCCCAACGCATGTTTCCCCATCTGTCCTCCCGTTTTTCTGTCCGTGCCCACTGGCATCAGCCCATGTACCAGCAGTGTGGCATGACCCACATTTCTTCCCTGCTCTCTGCTTCCCTGTCTGTGATGTCTGGTATCAGCCCATGTACCAGCAGTGTGGCATGACCCACATTTCTTCCCTGCTCTCTGCTTCCCTGTCTGTGATCTCTGGTATCAGCCCATGTTCCAGCAGTGTGGCACGCCCAGCAGGGCTCTCTGGCACTCCATTCGCTCGCACCATTTCCTCCATCCCGATGGGCTGCCTCTCTTCAACCCCGACTGGACCTACCGCGACCTGCCGCCCCTCACTGACGCACAAATGGCTCTCCTGCCTGCTGATTGGGTTGTCGTGCTGGCAAAGCGCCGGGGCAGGAAGCGAGCCATAATCAACTTTGCTGAGCTGGAATCGGCTGTGAAGAATCTATTTCCAGACAGGGTGGTGACGTTCAATGGGTCCATGGGGATACTGGAAGGTGAGAATAGTCATTGTTGCACCACGCTGGAGCATAGTTTGCTGGCATGACCTGCTGCTTTGAAAGCCACCTGACCCACACTTATCGCCGACCATGTAGTTTCTGTAAGTGGATCTCCATTTATGTGCTCCGGGATTTATTTCCCATTGTTTTGTGTGTGTCTTTCCATCATCAGCACGTGACTTGTTTCGTCGAGCGCGGCTGTACATAGGCGGTCACGGTGCAGCGCTGGCAAACATGGTCTTCATGCCGGCGCAGGCAACTGTCTTGGAGATTCGTCCCAATGGCTGTCCCAACACCTGCTACCACCAGCTCTCATATGCATGCTCCCTGCACTACCACTTGGTATTGAGCGACGGAACATGCTTTTCCGCTGTTGTAGCGCACGTCGACAAGATTGCTGAAGCTCTTGAAATAATTTCTCGGGGATTCCTTGAAGGTGTGAATAAGGGTGCTAAAAGATAGTTTCAGGCCATGCATTGTTGATTGCTATCTCGGCTTATCATGTATCCAAGCAGAGATGCACTAACCGGGAACCTCCGTCACCGTGGGTCATCAAAGTTAGCGCGTTTCCGTTCGGTTGGTCGCGGTTGAGTACGATGGTGTGCACCCTAGGGCGATTCACGGCTTTGAACAGTGGATACATGAAGGCATTCCCTCCCTTGTCTACTTTCGTTGGTGAGTTGATGCTCGAGAATCAAGATCCCCTTTCCACTACATATCAAGGGCCGTGTGGGTGGGAATACTGGGCAGCAAAAAGAATGTCTCGCCAGGAATTCTGTATCTTGTACCGTACCATTTCAGGGAGCTATGCCTTGTTCAATCATATGTTTGTCTGCCCACAATCCACCATCTTCTGCTCCAAGCAGGAGCAACTGGTGACGCGTGTCACCACCACGCATAGCACCTGCTCGCCGACACATGAACTTTTCTCCCAAGCTTGCCGCCATGGCCTGCCAGCTTCAGCAGGATGCTTCCGTCTTATTTGGGATCGTTCTTAGTTCCGTACCAGCCGATGCTTCTGTGTGCCAGGTCGATACTCAAAGTGCTTCAGAAAAGCTAAGGGTTGGCGAGTCGAGACTGCCGCGCTGCATCCACGCTCCACGGAATTGCTTTTCCTCGTCAAGTCCACATGGGGTAGAGAAAAGCCAAGATTGATTTCAGCGTACTTGTTTGGAACATTATCACCGTTGTCTGTTGAGGCGTTAGCATCAAGAAATCGCTAGTCCATTAGCCACAAGCACAAATCTGGGAGTTGGGTGCTGTAGAATCTTACCCCAGCTCGGCTTCAGTGTCACTGGCTCTGTTAGTTTCTCATATTCTCCACACCAACACCAATCATGGCTCCACCTGCTCGAGCTCGTCCTCACACCTTTGAACGGCGCCTCGTGTCAACCGAATGCGGCAGAGCATTCGCGGCGAAGAGTATTCGTTGCCTCCTTCTCCTCATGCTTTCATCGGCGTATGATCCCTTCCACGTCGTGCGGCTGGTTAGAGCAGGTGAGTGTGTGTGCATGATGCGTGTGAAGTGCCGCGTTGCAGAAAGGACCGACCTTGCACGTACGTACAGTCCAAATTCACCCGCCCAGTAATTTGTGGAATTTCAAGACGTTTGCGATCTCCCGTGTGGTGTGGACCTGGTCTCACGCGATATTCACTTTGCACGTGCTATCAGTGAAACCGAATCGTATTATCACCACTTGCCTGTGGCACGGCAGGCGACGTTATGGGAGAGACAGTACAGGTGAAGGGGGGGACACAAGGAGGCGCGTCAGGCCAGACCATGGAGGTTACGGGTGGGAATGGCGCGAGCGCCAGTGTCGCGCTGCCGGTGGTGCCGAATGTGTTTCCACACGCTCCTGACAATCCAGAAGAAGTCGGCCCTTACGTGCCTATCGAATTCAGGTGTTTAGTTGAATCAAGCCTTGTCCGATTTCAGGTGTCCGGCGTCATGCATCGCGCGAATAAGCTTGTTGCTGTACCCTCTTTTGTCATGGCTTAGCATCGATTGCGCAGCAGTAACGGCTAGAAGACTCTCAGAAACAACTCACTTCATTCACCACCTACTTCCTTCGCCCGCCTCACACCTCCCCACCCCATTTCGCCTCTACCCTCCGCCGTTGCCCCGCGGTTTCCCCCCAGGAACGACCCGGAGCGTGTGCGGCTGAAGAGCCGGCCGCTAGGCGTGCACATCAGCAGCGACGAGCAGACGCTCGTGTGGCTCAACTACTTTCACGAGAACACAGTTGATGGGCCGAAGCTCAGTTGCATGGGCAATCCCTGCCCGCACCTGTTCAAGTGTCACGACGGGTACCCTAACGTGTGGTCCTGTTGGACTAGCGAGCTCGTTGATCGGGAATTGTTTGTCACACACGCTCCTGTGAACTGCCCGAACCGGGCAGCAGGGGAGGAAGTGGGGGACGAGGAAGGGGAGTATGACGAGTCGTGCAGCCACAAGGCGGATCATGGGCTGCGCATGCCGTGGGCTCTGCAGAACTTTCAGCTGTCAGATGTGTACATAACACACGATGGGTTTCTGTTCAACGCCACGCATCAGTTTGTGCGCGGCGGGTGCCACCAGATCGGCAAGGTAAGCCATGCGTGAGTCGTTCACCTTCCTGCTCACTCCCTTCTTCCCTCCATCCCTTCAGCTTTCTCTGCTCCTCCCCCCCACCACATCCCAATCCCATCTGATCCGAACCACATTATCTCAATATCCGTTCGCCCGTGCCATGTGCTCCACATCCTGTATCTTTTACCTCTCCCCTCCACTTCTTTAAACTCTTCCACCCCCTCAACCCCTATTACCCCATAACCCCCCCCACCCCTTTAACCGCTCCACCCCTTGCCCCACCGCGCAGTACACCTTCTCCCCAACGGTTCCAGTGCACGAGTTGCATGGGGCATGGAGCTGGGCGTACGTGGTGGGCGGCAACTTCTACCATGTGCTCGTGGAGACACTGCCCTGCTTTGTGGTGGCTGCACGCTTCCTCAGCAAGTACCGCGGTTATCCCGTCATTGCTACAGGCGAGCAGGTGCGTGGAGTGAGGGACGTCTACACGCGTGCAGCAATGCAGGGAGGGAGGGAGTGAGGGAGGGGTGGTGGGAGGGCGAGCTGGTGGTTTCTTGAGTACAGGTGGGATGTGAAGAGTGCGTGGGGCCGGGAGGTTGAGAGACAGCGCCACTGGGATTCTGTGCGTTGCTATGCATCTGCTTCTTTCCTTGCAGGGCATGCATGCCTCGTCGTGCTTCACCACCCATCTATCCATCCAAGCAAACCAGAGGCCACTGCACTAGCTGCATGCGAGTCCCTCTGCATCCAAAATATTTTGTGATTCATACCGCACTGAATGTCACTCCATTCCTCCTTACCCTCGCCGTGCTTCTCCCTCTCTCCCCTCCCTCCTCCCTCCTCCCTCCTCCCTCCTCCCTCCTCCCTCCTCCCTCCTCCCTCCTCCCTCCTCCCTCCTCCCTCCTCCCTCCTCCCTCCTCCCTCCTCCCTCCTCCCTCCTCCCTCCTCCCTCCTCCCTCCTCCCTCCTCCCTCCTCCCTCCTCCCTCCTCCCTCCTCCCTCCTCCCTCCTCCCTCCTCCCTCCTCCCTCCTCCCTCCTCCCTCCTCTCTCCTCCCTCCTCCCTCCTCCCTCCTCCCTCCTCCCTCCTCCCTCCTCCCTCCTCCCTCGCCATGCACCTATGCGGGTCGTGTGGCATCAGTGGAGGGCGTATAACCGTATGGGAGCGGCCATGACGGGCATTCCTCGTGAGAGCATGAGAGCGCTTGCCACGTTCCCAGGGGAGCTTTACCATGTAGCTCGCGTGCACCAGGTCAGATGCCGTGCATTATGGACTCATTGACCTCGCACCTCACACAAATATTGTTTATCCTTTTGCCTTCCGCTCACCACCGTTCCCCGCTCACTACCTCACACCCTCTTCCCTGGCTTGTATTTTTTCCCCTGTTCTCCCTTACCCTGTCCCCGCCCACCTTGCATCAGCCCATGTTCCAGCAGTGTGGCACGCCCAGCAGGGCTCTCTGGCACACCATTCGCTCGCGCCATTTCCTCCACCCCGACGGTCTGCCTCTCTTCAACCCCGACTGGACCTACCGCGACCTGCCGCCCCTCACTGACGCACAGATGGCTCTCCTGCCTGCTGATTGGGTGGTGGTGCTGGCAAAGCGCCCGGGCAGGAAGCGAGCCATCATCAACTTTGCTGAGCTGGAATCGGCTGTCAAGAAGATATTTCCCGACAGGGTGGTGACGTTTAACGGGTCAATGGGGATACTCGAAGGTGAGAATAGTCACTTGCTGTTGCACCACTCTGGAGCGTAGTACACTGTATTCTTCTTAATGACGTGCTGTTCAGCCCCTCGATCCACACGTGTGACATCCATATGTCTCCCGCATTTTCTTTGTGTGCGTTTCTTGTTTTCACAATCAGCACGTGACTTGTTTCGCCGGGCGCGGCTGTACATAGGCGGCCATGGTGCAGCGCTGGCAAACATGGTCTTCATGCCAGCACAGTCTACGGTTCTGGAGGTCCGTCCAAATGGGTGTGCCAACACCTGCTTTCACCAGCTCTCGTATGCGTGCTCCATCCATTACCACTTGGTGTTGAGTGATGGAACGTGCTTCTCTTCTGTAGAGGCTCATGTTGACAAGACAGTTGAAGCTCTTGAGAACATTGCTCGCCAATTTTTAGAAGAGGATGCGACTAATGGTACCGGTACTCGACAATAGCCTTGGTTATAGAGTTAAGCTACCATTGTTTACATATCCATTTATGTACAGCGTTCTGCTAATCATTTTTCTTATAGTACCAACGTGATATTCACAGTTCAGTGAGCCTGAGGGAGTATGCAATGTATACATCCAGAGTCGTACTAATGTTGAGGTCGGTTCAATGTGGTGAAGTGAGATCATCCGACCAAACCGCAACTGTCACCCCCTTATTCAGGCTCACCAGCAGCATGTCGAAGATACCTTGGAAGCTGCAACTTTCAGGTTGCTGCTAGCGTGGCTCAAATGTCTACCAAAGCTCCCACATCTCGGGCTATTCGTGTCGCGGATTGGGCAGCAACTGAAATATTTTTCTGTGTTGCTGAGGGTACTTTACCATGTCAGCAGCAAACACGCTGGACACTTTCCCCAGGATGGCACGAGCGATTGCCTCGTCATCGTGGACAAGGGGGGGAGTGAGCTGGACTCGTCGGCCTAATCTCTGTTCGCCACCGTGGCGTGACCTTTCGCGACCTTTCTGTCAGCAAAGCACACCGCACCTCCAGCATCACAGGGGTGTCAGCTTCTTCCTCATTTGTGCTGATAGGAATTCAGAACGCGCATTGCTCCATTCAGAAGTTCTTCATCTCTCGCATTCGGCGTTCATTTACGCCAAAATCACGCAGTTTATCGATCTAGAGTGCTCGTCGTTTCTAGCTTGCCAGTTCCGTCGCGTTTTGTTCGCGCATCGCTAGTCTTAGGAACTACTGAAACGCATCGACGGCATAATGTAAGGCCTGACAGCAACTTGACATCGGATCCGTCAGTGAAAATTCCTTGGCGTTCTCCCTCAGTGTTGGTTGTTTCCATTGTTACTAGCAGAGTTGCTGTTGATGTCTTCCTTACTCTGGACGACGTCACTTCAAACACAACCCTCACTGAATCGATAAAACACGTTAACCCTCTAGAGTCACGTACCACATTGCATCACTATGATGCATCGCCGAGTTTCACTGGTATCGTCAACTTGTTTTACTACTTTGGAAGTGGTATAGGTTCTAAAACCATGAACTTATTTATTTCTGAACTATACCCTGTCTTTCCTTGCATGTTCCCGTATTCCCAAATTCAGGGCCTCCCCTGCTGCAGCTGACTCTCAAGGTATGTTCCGTTCTCCTCTCCGTGTGCATTTCATCAGAAGCGTCAAGTTCAATGCTCTTTGATCCGTAAAATGGTGCTTCATTTTCTCAGTTTCAAATCGATCCCCGAATTCTCCTCATAGCTCTATGATTTCCCATTTCCTCCCTGCCCTGCCTCCTGCCTCTCTGTGTTGTCCGCACTTATCATTCTTCTTTACCCGTGCAGCTTCGCCGTCGCCCCCTCCCGGCAATTGGTACGTGCACAAGTTTGGCGGAACGTGCGTGGGAACATGGGAGCGCATCCGTTCCGTCGCCGACATCGTCACTTCCGACACTGGCCGGGGAGCCGCCCCGCGGCACCGCTTCGTGGTGGTTTCCGCCATGGCAACGGTCACAAACGCGCTGTACGCGTCAGTGGCGGCGGCGGAGGCGGGGACCTGGGCGGACGTGGAGAAGCAGCTGAGCGCGCTGAGGGAGAAGCACGAGGAGACGGCGACGCACCTGCTGGGACCAGACGGCGAGGAGCTCGAGACGTTCCTGAAGCTGCTGAGGGAAGATATCGGCAACCTGGCGTCCATGCTGAGAGCTATTTCTATAGGTACGAGAGATGTCTGGGAGGGGGACGCGTAGAGAAGAACGATGGACATGGTCGAGTATCTCACACCGTTAGGTAGTATCGTTCGTCTCGTCGATCTGCAGTGAATCTGCTCAAACTTCAGGATTTGAGGTTTCTGCTGCTTCCGTCCCACCTTGCCCCATCTCCTTCACCCCCGCTCCTCTAACCCTCGCTCCAGTGCGGCACACCACTCATGCGTTCTCCGACTTCGTGGTGGGGCACGGGGAGCTGTGGTCCGCGCGCCTGCTCTCCGCCACCATCCGCAAGGTACGCGAGTGCGCAGGGGCTTGGTAACAATGAACCTCGCTGTAGGGTTAAGATGGAGAGGAAAGGAAGAGGAAAGTGAAAGGATGAAGCAGATAGAGCTTTATCTTCTGGAACCTCACTGTTCCCCTGCCCTTTCTTTCCGCCCCTGCCTAGTTCTTCAACCTTCATCCTGCCCATGCCATTCTCCCCGCTCCGAGCCCTTCTTATTCCCACATAAAAGCGCTCCATCTGTCTCCTGACTCTTTCCCCCCGCACAACCATTCCTTCCTTCCCTTTCCCCTCCCCTTTCACCCTTTCCCCCTTCCCCCCTCCGCGCGCAACTACCCCAGCAATCCGGCGGGCCGTGCGCGTTCCTGGATGCGCGCGACGTGCTGGTGGTGGAGGCGGCGGGGCAGCACGTGAACCCGCTCTACTCCATCTCCTCCGCCAACCTCGCGCGCTGGTTCGCGGACGCGGGGCAGCCCGCGCTGCTGGTGGCGACGGGGTTCATCGCGCGCGACCCCGAGGGCGCGCCCACCACGCTCAAGCGCGACGGCAGCGACCTGTCCGCCGCGGTGTTCGGCGCGCTGCTGCACGCGAAACGGGTTACCATCTGGACGGATGTCGACGGCGTGTTCTCCGCCGACCCGAGGAAAGGTGAGACGAGCCCGAACGCACCGGATACGTTGCACAGGAGCTTGGGGAATGGCACTGCCTGGAGACGAACATGAGCTCATAGCGTGGACCTGCTGAACCAGGCACAGGCAGGCAGGCCTTCACGTGCTTGTTTTGAGACGTCTCAAAACGCACCCATGCCCTCTCGTGCTACTAGCTCGTCTGCCACAAGTTCACCACAGAATGCAGCTCCTCTCATGACCCATCTTGCTTCGCGGTCCCCCCACGTCTCACCCAACCAACCCCGTCCACCCCTTGCCGTTTCTTCCCCTCCGCTGTCTTTCCCCCGTGTGTTCACCCCCTTGCAGTGAAGGATACGGTGGTGCTCTCCTCTCTCTCTTACGAGGAAGCCCTTGAGCTGGTGGGTGGGGGGGATTGGGAATGTGCGAGGCTGAGAACATACGGGGGCGAGGCCGAGACGAGGGGATTATTGCGAGGTGTGTGATGGGAATATGAGGTGGTTGATACGAGTCTTTGCGTGTAGCATTGTACCCTAAGCCCTGAACCCTGTTGCTGCCTGTCATGAGCTGTGTACTGTGAGACGCGTGTCCTTCGAGCTGCTCCCGTTGTCGCCATCTTCCCTCCTTCCGCCAGTCTCCGCTTAAACCCGTCGTCCCCCTCTCCCCCCTCTTCTCGCTTGCTTCAACCCGTCGTCCTCCTCTCCCCTCTCCCCCTCCCCGCTCCGACTCGGCCCCCTTTCCCCCCTCGCCCCACCCCCTGCCAAACCCCCGCCCCCCCCCTCAGTCGTACTTCGGCGCGAACGTGCTGCATCCGCGCACGGCACTGCCCGTGATGCGGAACAACATCCCGCTGCTCATCCGCAACGCCTTCAACCTCGCGGCGCCCGGCACGCGCATCGGCCCGCTCTCGTCCCCGCCCTCGTCGCCGTCGCTGCCCGGCACCAACGGCGAGGCGTCCATCGTGAAGGGCTTCGCCACCATCGAAGACGTCGCTCTCGTCAACGTCGAGGGGTGAGCACGCCGTGGGGCGTTCTGCCTTGCTGGGGAAGGACGAGGTGGCGAGGGAGCGAGGGGTTAGGGGATAGGAGAGAGGGCACAGGGGACAGGGGATTTGTGATCGGGAAGGGTTTAGGGAGAGGAGGGAGAGGGGAGTTGATGAGGTGGGGGAATGGGAAGTGTAGAGGCCAAAGGAGGATGTGTGCGGAGGTGGGGAGTGGGCTGGGTGGCTGCTGCGTGGTGAGCGTTTTCCTGCACTCGAATCCTCGTTCCGTCCTTCATCTTCTCGATCTTTTCCTCCACCTTCCCTCTACTCTCCTTCGCCTTCACAACTCAGATCCGCACTTCTCTCCCTATGCCTGACCCTTGCCCCCGTTCCCCTCTGTTTGCCACCCTCCCGCCCCCTCCTCCCTTCCCCCTTTTTACTTCCGCACCACCCTTCCCCCTTTTTACTTCCGCAGCACGGGCATGGCGGGTGTGCCGGGTACAGCAGCGGACATTTTCGTATCCGTCAAGAACGTGGGAGCCAATGTCATCGCCATCTCGCAGGTGCTTCTCGTGCCTTGTGCCTACCCTACTCGCCGTGCCATGGCCGTCATTCCTCCATGTCTCCCTCTAAGCCCTCCAGAAGTCCTGCCTCCCTCCCATACCGTCTCTCCCCGTTTCCCTCCTCTGCTTCGCCTCCGTGAACCCTTCCTCCCTCTTCGCCTTTCTCCTCCTCCACTCATCCCTATTCCGTTCCCAGCACCGTCCCTTGTGCTGCCCCTTCCTCAGTCCAAATCTCCTTGTCCCCCCTGTCTTTTATGCGCTCCCAAAACCCATCCATCGCACTCACCCCTCCCCACTCCCTTCCACGAACCCCTCGTCCTCCTCCCTCTCTCCACCCCACCCCACTCCACCCCTTCTCCCAGGCGAGCAGTGAGCACAGTGTGTGTCTCGCCGTGCCCTCGCATGAGGCAGCAAAAGTGGCAGCAGCGCTGCGAACAACCTTCAAGGACGCAATAGCCGCAGGGCACATAGCAGACGTGGCAGTGATCGACAACTGTGCCGTGCTCGCTGCCGTGGGCAAGGGCATGCCCGCCACGCGGGGGGTTTCAGCTGCTCTCTTCGGCGCTCTGGCGGAGGCTGGTGTGAATGTGCGGGCCATCGCACAGGGGTGCAGTGAGTACAACATCACCATTGTGGTCGACCAGAAAGACATCGCCGCTGCACTCACTGCTGCACACAGCCGCTTCTACTGCCCCACAGGCGCTGCTGCTGTTGCTGTTGCTGTTCCTGCTGCGGCTGGGGTGGCTGGGAGCGCGGCTCCTCCGTTGGATCTGCCGGCTGCTGCTGTTGCTGCTCCTGCGGGCGGGGTGACGACGGTGGCGGTGGCAGTGGTGGGGCCGGGGCTCATTGGCGGCACCTTCCTGGACCAGCTGCGCGACCAGGTGAGGGCGCTGAGGGAGAGAGAGAGAGATGTGGGGGGAGGAGGGGTGAGAGGGGTACGGGGATGCAGGCAGGAGTTGAAATAGAGTAGAGAGGGAGGAGGAAAGTGGAGGGAGAGGGAGAGTGGGGCTGTAAGCTGGTTGTTTTCGACTGTGCACCATGTTCGCATTCTGCTTTTGCTGCAAAACATGGTGCACAGCCTAATTAATTATTCCATTCTCCATTCACCCGCCCTCCACATTTGCGTGCATCGTTAACATGGCACTGCTGTGGCTGTGTGCGGTGCTGTGCGGTGCTGTGCAGGCGGCGTATCTCCTGGCCACGTACTCCCTGCGCCTGCACGTGGTCGCCATCGCTGACCTCCGCGGCTCGTTGCTCACCACTGGCAGGTGCGCTGCACTGCACTGCACTGCCCCATGCTGCGCTGCACCACTTTGGTGTCATCTCTCTCGTCCTGGATCTCGTTCCTTTCTAGATCTCCTTGCTGCCACTCATTCCCCCACAACCCACCCGCCCTCCTCCTCCCCTCCCCACCAGCCACGTGGACCTCCCCAATTGGCGCGAGCAGCTGAAGAAGGAGGGCACGTCCGTGCCTCTGCCAGCACTCACGGCCGCCCTCACAGCCCTGGCCACAGCAGGCAAGGCGCCGGGGACAGCAGCAGGGGGAGAGGAGGCGCAGGCGTGGGTGAAGGCGCTGGGGGGAGGCAGCCAGGTGCACGTGGGTCTGGCGGATTGCACTGCGAGCGAAGCAGTGGCGGACTGCTATGCGGCGTGGATGAAGGGTGGCATCACTGTCATCACCCCCAACAAGAAGGCCAGCTCCGGCCCCCTGCCACGGGTGAGAGGCTTGGAGAGCAGAGGGGGGGTCAAGGGCGTGGGAAAGGGGAGGAGAATTGTGGGTGAAGAGTTGCTGTATGTATGGTGGGCCATGGGATTCTGGATCGTGGAATGCATGTGTTTGTATGTCGATGCCACCTTCCATCATGCACCACCACACCACCCCCACTACCACCCGCCGTCTGTGCCTCGTTGCCCCGTGGCAGTTGGCGGAGATGGCAGCAGCACGGAAGCAGGGCGGGTCGCGCTTCTTCTATGAGTGCACGGTGGGAGCAGGGCTGCCAGTCATCTACACGCTCAGGCGCCAGCTGGACACAGGCGACAAGCTCGTGCGGTGTGAGGGCATCTTCAGGTGAGCTCTGCTGCACCAAGGAACGGCGCAGTTGTGATGTGCCCTGCAGTACGCATCAACCCGGCACCCGCGCTTCCCTCGCTTCCTCCACCCCCTTTGGTCCCAACTTGCCCGTCCCCTGCCAATCCTGCCCACGTGCACCTCTCCTCCTGTCATTTTCACCATTCCACCTGCATGCACTTACTGCAGTACAGGACACAAATCCCAACCACCACCCTCCCTCCAAATCTGCTCTCCCTATGCCCCCCGTCAGCGGCACGCTGTCCTACATCTTCAACTCACTGGACGGCAGCAAGCCGTTCAGCCAGATAGTGAGTGAGGCCAAGGCAGCAGGGTACACGGAGCCGGACCCACGGGACGACCTCAAGGGCATGGACGTCGCCAGGAAGGTCGTCATCGTGGCACGTGAAGCAGGCCTGCAGCTCGAGCTCTCCGACGTGCCTGTGCAGTCGCTCGTGCCCAAGCCACTGGAGGTGAGGGAGTGGGGAGGAGGAAGGGCGTGGAGCATTGCTGATGTTTTCTTTAGTGAGCAGAGATTTTTATTCTTTTATGTGGGCTTCTTCCACTGTTTACGCAGCTCTGTTTTCTTGTGCACCTTACTCTTTTTTCTCGTGCGTCTTACTCAACCTATGTCTCGCCTGCATCCTCTGCCTCATCAGGACGTTGCCTCGGCCGATGAGTTTCTTGCCCGCCTGCCCGAATTCGACTCAGACATCACTGACAAGCTCAAGGAGGCGCAGGCAGCCAATGAGGTAACTGGTTGCTGTATGGGGTCGAGGATTGTTTCTTGAGAACTGTCACAGAGGAAAGGTTGTGAGTGGCACTGCTAGTTCAGCAAGGGAGTTAGGGGGTGAGGGTGTTGAGGAAACGCAGAGGGGAGGTGGGTGCTGCTGACAGTGTCACTGTTCTGTGTTGCATGGTACCATCTGATTATGCTGATTATGAGTTTACTTGCACCCGGCTCTTCCCCACCCTGATGTTCTCCCCATCCGCCCTCCATTCAGGTGCTGAGGTTCGTGGGCATAGTGGACATGGCCAAGGGTGGGGCCTCAGTGGAGCTGAGGCGCTACCCCAAGACACACCCGTTTGCCAGCCTCACGGGCAGTGACAACATGATCTCCTTCCAGACCGAGCGCTACTTTGACATGCCCCTTGTGATTCGAGGGCCCGGTGCTGGTGCTGCTGTCACTGCTGCTGGGGTGTTCACCGACCTTCTGCGCCTCTGCTCCCATGTTGGTGCTCCTTGCTAAGGCGGTTGGTGCTGTTGTATGTGAGATTTTGAATAAAGTTTGTGGATTGGTAGTTGTAGTGTAGGATGCGTTTTCCTCACGATATTACTGAAGTTTATCCTGGAATTAGTACTACATATTTGTGTACTGATGTGGAATAATTATAGGAACGAGCATGATGGCAAACAAGACGCGAAAACAAATAGAACATGAGAATGTGTACTGTTCTTGAAGTATGCAGAGGGTGTGTTCCTTATTGATTGCATGAAACCTGAAAAGCCCGTATTGTTGGATTTGGATAGCTGAGCCTTTTCAGTGTATACTGATTCCAATCTTGCTAATGAGTAGTACAGCAAAGAAGCCTCTGTAAACATGTCTGACCAACGGACCTACGTGGGCGACGTGATCAACACTTCCCTGCGACGAAGCGGGTAGTGTGGCACGTCGGCGAGATGCGCGCGCCGGGTTGCGGTGGAAGTGCGAAAATTGGACTGCCGAAAAGTGGAAATCCTGCATTCCCGCTGGTCCTTGCAAGTGGAACACCACGGGAGACGGATCCTCGACATTTTCAGCATCACACAACGTGGTCTGTCTCCTAGAACTGCAGCCCCCCACATCACACCTCCACGCCACGGCCGTTGTCGTGATGTTTACACACACACATCATTCACAATCGACATTGCCTACTCTCTTCCATGGATAGACTGTCCTGTCTGTCTGGAGTAACAAACTGTACGCTTTTTCCTCTTTACAGTAATCGCCGTCCCGCTTTCCTCGCGTCACAGTAATCGATGTTCTTACCAGTAAGCAAATTTAGTGCACGAAACGCCAGGAGTGTAGTGCACTAATCGATACAAGATTGCCCTTTAGTATCGCTTTAGCAAATCCGTGACTCACCTCGCAGGGCAGGCGACGAGGAGCTCATATTGGCCTCAACAGATCAACATTCCGGTGCCCATAGCGGTGACTGCGCGGCCAAAAATGGCCGCTTTTAACGCTTATACGCACGTCGCGCTGCTCCTTGTCCTTTCCACGAACCTCGCCGGCATCGCCGCCCTAGGTGAGCACCATGGATTGTTTCCCGTCGTCGATCACTCGCATCCATATTTCTCGAGACACACGCACCACATCTATTCGGGAAAGCAACCCACATCCATGATTTTCCCTCGCCTCCCTGGTTTTCATGGTTTCCTTATGCTTCCCTGCGACGCGCGCCTGCTCTCTCTCCTCCCACGCAGGTAGCGCCGAGTCCAGCCCGGCGTATCCCGCCAATCCCTCGTCGCCATGGACAAGCATGAGGTAAGGCAATTCCACCCCAAGTGTGCTTCGGGTAATGGTGCGTCGTCATGGATACAGATTATATAAAGGAGCATCGAAAGCATTCTATTATCGTCCCTTTGTTTTACCCCCTCTATAAATTCTTGTGTTCTTCTCAATTTTCAGTCTTGTCTCCTCCTTCTGGTCCCCGACCTGCTGCGCCGGTAGCTGTAATAGCATTTCCCATGCTTGTTCCTTGCATTGACACGCGCTCGTATTCCCTCGACGTGTGCCTTTTCTTCCCTTCGCCCCCCTTCATGCTCCCACGCCGATCAGCTCGGACCATATCAGGAGGCTACACTACACGACGGCAGAGGTAATGACACATCTAAGCAAGGCGGCGGGCCTCACGCAGACCGCGGCGCTGCTGCTAAAGCAAGAGAACTGCCACCTCCGTCTCTTGGCGTCCCGCCAGTCGTTTCAGAATGCTGCGATCCTTCTGAAGCAGAAAGAGAAGGATTTAATCGTGGGGCAGATTGACAACGCGATCGCTACCATTGGCGATGTTAGGGAATCCCTAGAGCCCGTTTTCCATCGACCCGCTATGGACTACCTTGATGGGGCGCTACGGCTGGCCGACGTTGCTCGCTGTTCGTTCATGGATAGACGAAAGCGACGATTTGCGTAGAGGAAAGGAAGGGTGAATCACGCAATTTCCGAAGTGGGGATGGAAATCCAAATGTAATATGTGCTTCTTTTACTGTAAATGCGAAATGTAGGTTGGAACATAGGAATCGCTATAGTGGTTGTTTATAGAGGAGATGCAATGAACAGGCTGGCAAGAAAAGAGTTGGGAATCACTTACGAAAGCATCTCCCACTTCTGGGTCACACTTGGTACATGTGTACACACAAGGTTCGAGGAGCTATCTCGCCCGTTTCTCTTCATTCCGTTCGGATCTCTCAACCTGCCCGACAGCAGACTGCTGGTCCACACAGCAGTTGGACTGATTGGATTGAGTTGAGTTGAGATACACTCACGCACAGACACGGCGCGGTTCGCCACAAGCCCCTGCAACTAGAAATGACCTCCATTGGCTGCGTCCGAGCCGCCATCTCCCTTCCCACACATTGCCATGCGACCACATTTCGAAGCGCTCCTCACATCCAACTTCCATTCCATGTTCCAACGCTTCATTCTTGAATCGCACGAGGAACATGGGGGTGCCAGCCAGCGCCGATGTACGGTGGGAAAAGCAGAAATTCCACTTGCCTTGCCTCAGCAGCCAAATCTCCACTGACCTTCCACGGCCTTGCCTTACCTCAGCAACCAAATCTCCACTCATCTTCCACGCCCTCGCACTTTCGTAATCATCACCTTCCTCTTCATCCTTTTTTTCGCCTAGCCACTACTTTCGCCTTGCAACATGTCACGCTCGTCCTATAGAGCAGCTACTGCTTCCCGAGAAGGCTCAGAATCAGCGAGTGGCTCTGCATCTGTCGCTACCATCATCACCATCCGCAACGCCCACAGCTAGACCCTTGCCTCAGCCCCTGTGGCTTTACTTGGTCGATAATTCGCGCCAACTCACTTCCTTCGGACCAGAGCTTCTTAAACCTTGCCACATGGCGCCCCACTGGCCATTCCTATCAGTCGCTGGGACCGCCGCCGTGACGGCCAATGCAGAATCTCACATCGTCGTGGATAGAACCGCCGCAACCAGAGCGGTCCTCGGCGCTCGGCTCAGCGCCGTCCACGCTGGCGCCTCGTCGTGGTTCCCTACAAATGCTGCTCGGTCCCGTCATTCGCGGAATGGCCTAGAGGCACACGCTGCCTCACGACGCCGTTCCGCCGTCTTGTTTCTAGTTTCGCTGGTACTTGTTGCATCATGCGCGGCCGTCGCGTTAATGAGTCTCAAGGCTACAAACCCACGGAACGATGGCGGCATTTTCAGCGGCTTCATGATTATTCGCCGAAACCTGCAATCTTCCATCTCCTATGTGACGCTCTCGGCGAAAGAAACGAAGCCGACGACAGTCGAAGACGATTACGAGTTTCAAGGAGCTTCGATGCTCGCGGGGGAGCCCTCCGCATCGGCGGACGTGCCGTTGACGTGGCTCGACAGTCCGTACGTGCGTCGACATGTGATCGACATGCGGTCCGAGGCGTCGTGCAAGGCCATCATGCCCTCTCCGGAAATATCTTCTGACGCAAATTCATCCAGGTAAGCTTCCCGCCAAACACCTGTCTGCCAGGTTTGACAGGGACCTGTTCTCCTCTCACTACTGCAACGCTCAAACCTCCAGGCGCTTCGACAGTTGCTAATTGATTAACGGTCACAGCTTACCCTCCAAACCCTCGTCCAACTTGAATCCCGCAGTGGCCCACTCGCCGCGTCGCTCGGCCATCTCGCCAACTCAACGGAGCGCGTTCTGCTCGTGATTCCGCGGCACGGCCTCGGCAACAGCCTACGCGGCTTCGTCTCCGCGTTCGTCTTCTCGCGCGTCTCCGGCCGCCGCCTCGTGCTCTTCCACGGCGGCGCGCACGGGAAAGTTCTTGACGCGCTCTGTGCCGCATTCGACTGCGGGTTGGACGAGATGCGAGGGCTCGGCGCGGAGGAACACCAGCTTCTGGAAAATGATGAGAGTAACGCTTCCGCCGGTGACGGGAGACGCAAGGGAAGGCTCCTGGGAGAGGCGGCTCTGCGCGCTGTGCTGAAGAAGCTTAACTTTGTGGATCTCCAAGCACAGGGCCGCTCGCTCGGTACGTGCCATTTCATCCCAAAATGGGTCATTCAGAAGAAAGGTGTTTATGGAGGGAATTTTTTCGTGGTGTGAACCATGGATTCACACTTTCTGTTAATTTCATGTGAAATTATTTTGTATTGCTTCTCCTTCACCCATCCAAATCCACCCTGCACTCTCCTCTCCCGTCCGCATCTCCATGCTCCTTGCAGTGGTGCGGCAGTCCATACCATCAGCCACTCCCTTCGTGCTCTCGCGCAGTGCGCACAACTTTGACGGCTTCTGGCAGCACTACCCCGCCGTCAGGCGCTGCGTTGCCGCCGCATTCAACTGCCGGGAGGGCGACGCCTGGTGCGTGCACTCGCACGCTCTGCAGCAGCTGCTTCCCCGGCCCTCCCCGTATCTTGTGTCTGCCATGCGAGCAGTGGTGCGGCGACGGCGGTACACAGGACTCGGAGGAGGTTTGCTGGAAGCTGGTGCAGATGAGGAAAGCGATCTGTCACTCCAAGAGCTTATGTTTGACATTGCGCTGCACATGCGCACCCGGCCCTTGTCGATCGAAGGGAAGGGTGGGGGTGGTGCGGGCCGTGGAAGCAACGTGGAAGATGGGAGTGCTGCGACCAATGAGCTGGCGCACGTGGGATGTGTTGACGATGATGGCACAGGGGAAGAAAAGCGTCCGCACGCGAATGCAACCAGTGCGTTCCTACAGCGCTGCCTCTGGTCGTGCCTTGATAGTGTGATCCGAGAGGTGGTACAGAAGCAAGGGAAGGTCGCTCCTCCGCTTTCTGCTGCATCCAACTCCTTCCCTCAGCAACCACTCTCCATATTTTTGGCCACTGACAGCGAGGAGTTGAGAGGCGAGCTTGTCAATCGTCTGTCAGCTTACGGTGATGTGTACTACTCAACAGGTGCTGTCGTGCACTCCTCCAAGTCTGCTACTAATGTGGCTGGTACAAGCGGGGAAGGCAATTTGGCTGCCCACTCAGCAGCGATGCCCAGTAGGGACGAAGGCCCAGG